AATTTAAGAGCCAGGAAGAAAGAAGGGCATTTTTGTCTTTTTGGGCGAAAGCGTATTTTGGTAATTTCACAATGCAATTAAATTTGCTGGGGTCATAGCCTTTATTTAATTTGTTAGAAAAAGTAAATAAGTGAAATTACGTTTAAATATGTGTTCACACATATTTAATTAAATCATCATTATTGTTAAATGTTAATTAAGTATTAATTGATTTTAATTGAAATAATGATGAAATAAATAAAATATCTAATTGGGAGTGTTTGGTAACATGGGGTGTTTGGGTTGGAGCCCAAGCCTATTCCATATGGGAATAGGGCAACTTAGTTTGCCTATAAAAGAAAAGTGTGTGTGTGATTTTAATATGAATTTTTAGATTGAAAAGGAAAACACACAACAGCCAATACACACTCTCCCACGCCACTTTCACTGTTTGATTGAAAAATCAAATATTTCTCTTTCTTCTTCTTGATTTCTTAAGGCTAAGGAGGATCTAGCAAATCTCTCCCTAGTTCCTTGTGATTGTCTTCGTGTGGACTTCGTGTGGACTTCGTGGGTTTGATCCTACACTTGGATCGGTAGCAAACACGTTCAGAGACAATACTGGAGGAGCCTCCAACGTGGGTATGGATCTAAAACTCTAGTTTTATTCTTCTGCAGATTCTTGTTATATATAAACTGTAATTTCTGTGCCCTGATTTTGGGTTCTAAGGAACGATCCATTGTTGTAAAATTTTTTGTTTTTCCACTGCGCAACTGGGTCGTTTCCTAACAGAGATGAGCAAAAAGAATAAGAGAGGTAGTTATACTCAATTTGAATTATTTTTATTATGTTTAAAAAAATAAATAAAATAAAATAAAATATTTTTAGGACTGCATTGCAGAAGCAAAAATAAGAATTGTGCATGGTTAAGGGTTGTTAATTGGTTGACATATTGAGTGATGGTTGAGAAAGGAAGTGGGAGTTGATTAAGTCTTAGTGTTTGCTTTAAGGAAACCAAATTCTTTTGTTTGTTTATCTTTTTCCTTCCCTTTGGAGCCCACTACCTGAGCCTAACGTTATAAGCTTATAATGACCTTTTGATTCTTAGCGATGTCTAATCCTCATTAGTGGAGAGTAGTTCGATATTTAGGCTTATGGAGTCTACCGCCATTTGATAAACTTTGTGTTTCTGCATAAAATAATCTGGGGAGTCGAAAGGTGGATTGAAGTGGGGATTACCTACTCGAGGGACCAGTAGAGAAAGATAGTCGATGTTACTTATAACTTCTTGGAGTATTAAACATTTTTCTAGTAATAATTTTGCAACAACCTTTGAGATTTGTATAAATTCTAAGCAGTTTGTGTGTTGAGTTGAATCTTATGTTTTTCTTTTTAATTTTTGTTAATTTTGCTGTTTTGCATTTATTTGGGCGTTTGTTGTTTTTCTTTCATTTTGTTTTGTACCTGATGCTCGGGGATGAGCATGTCTTTAGTTTAGGGGTATTTGATAATCCGAGAATCATACTGTTTTTATTAGGCTTTTAGGCTAGATTTTAGATACTCTTTAGTTCATTTATGCTTGAATTGCTACTTATTTCTTTACATTTTGTGTTTCAGGTTAAAATGGACATTTTGAGCAAATAATGAGCGAATTGGAGTTTCTGGACTTAGAAGTAAGCGGATCTCAAAATTTGGGAGAGTTTTGAAGTAGAGTGAAGCATTATGAAGCTTGTTCCCATGGGAGAGCATCGAAGATCAAAGATTCAAGCACAGAAGCAAGCGGAGGGCAATTCTGTAATTTTAGAATTCTTCATGGAGGTTCACCGCGTTGAAATGAGTCACGCATGAGAATCCAGTTCACTTCGTCACTGCGGCGAGATTTCTTCTTCGCCACGGCGAAGTCTGCAGTTTTCAGTTTCTTTAAAACGCACAGTTTCAATTTTAGGCAAAGTTTTAGGTTTTTGGGTGAGGTATAAAAGCGAAACTTTACCATTTTGAGAGGGAGTCGCGTTTTCCTTAGGCTAGAACAACTTTTTCATCTTCTTAGTTTTAGATTGGACGAATTTGTGTTGAAATAGTGAGAAGATTGGGATTAACCCCGATGGATTCTTCAATTAGGGGAGATCTCTTGTCTTTTCTCTCATTTTTATCATGTTGAACTTTATGTTTATCGTTTTTCTTACTTATTGTATTGATTTAGCTATGAACTAACCCATTTTGGGTTAGGGTTTTGATGTAGTTCGGATTCTCATGGATTAAGCAATTGATTTTTATTATTTTCATATGCTATTGCAACGATTGTGGGGTTATTCTGTTTTTAATGCTATTAATTGATGAACATGATGAGATTGAGAAATGATTCATGTTAAGCTTCTTGGGTAATCACCATTGTAGTATTAAATGCTAGAGATAGATTTAAGAATCAATGAAATCAATTTAGGATTCTAGGTGCTTAATGAGCTTAGAACTATTAATCTTCAAATTGTTGGGTGCGAAAGTTTAATAGGGAAAAGTAGGAAAACATAGCCTGAGAAGGTATGTTTACAATTTAGAGAATTTGATTTACAATCAATGCATGTGAATATGGAAATAGCATAATCTGTAGGTTTAATCCATAGAGTCTGAATGAAATCAAAACCCTACCCGTTGTTTTAAACTGATATTACCTTGTTTTTAATCTTGCTTTCATAATTTAGCTTTGAAAGTTTAGAAATTTTGTTTTAGTTTTAAGTTTATTTTTCTCTCATTAATCCAAACAACTTGATTGCTTCAACTTGAAAATAGTAGAAAACTTAGTGCTTAGCAACCAATCCTCGTGGGAACGATACTCACTCATCACTTTTTTACTTTGTGCGACTAGTGCACTTGCTATTTATGCATGTTGTAGCAACAACGCATCATCTCTCATTTAGCTTATCAGCCAATTGACCCACCTGTACTTCCAAGTTCCTAATGGATGCCCCTTGGTTTATGAAATTCGTCCTGGTCTCATTCATGAACTTGTGGTCTCTTGCATAAACTTTCCAAACATATCCTCCAGTTTTGTCACTCTTTGCTCTCCCGGTTGATTTTTCACCCCCGCTTGGTTGTTTGGCATCGTTCTTTTGGTTCCATTGATTGTTCTACTGATTCTGTTGATTCTGATTGCCCCAAGATAGGTTCGGATGATTCCTCCAACCAGGATTATATGTGTTGGAGTACGGATTGTTCGGTTGCCTTTGATTTCCTACCAAGTAGTTAACCTGTTCTAACGATGAAGATACTAAAGCAAACGTGTTTCCTACTTGACATTCACTGCGCATATGACTACCTGCACAAAATTTACAAGTTAGTTGAGGTGCTTGAATAGAATTTACCTACATACTTCCCAATTGTTTCTGAAGTGCTGTAAGTTGGGCTGAAATGGCCGTGTATGCATCAACTTCATGAAGACCCATGGATTTCTTCATTTGTATCCTCTCATTCGGTCTTTGATAGTTATTACTAGCCAAAACCTCAAGCAACTCATGAGCTTCTTCCAGTGTCTTGTTTTGCAATGCTCCTCCCGATGCTGCATCCACCATGGTTTGCACATTAACCATCAATCCATTGTAAAACGTTTGAACTTGCATCCAAACTAGCAACCCATGGTATGGACACCTCCTTAGTAGTTCCTTGTATCTTTCCCAAGCCTCATATAATGATTCAGACTCTTCTTATAGAAAAGATGTGATATCATTTCTCATCTTCACATATTTTGCTGGAGGAAAAAATTTGGTCAGGAACTTCTATGCTAATTTATTTCATGTAGTGATCGTCCCTGGTGGTAGTGCCATTAACCATCCCTTTGCTTTGTCCCTCAATGAAAATGGGAACAGTCTTAATCTGATGGCATCATCTGACACTCCGTTGGATTTGAAGGTATCACAAATCTCCAAAAAATTTGCAAGTTGCAGATTTGGATCTTACTTCAAATCTCCTTTAAATTGTATTGATTGCTGGATCATCTGGATGATTACCGGCTTTATTTCAAAGTTGTTGGCTTGTACTGCTGGTCTAGTAATACTTGACCCACTGCTATCAACTGAGGGAACTAAGAATTCCCTTAATGTTCTATTTTCTGCAATCTCAACAACTATGGCCTCTAGTTCAACTGTAGCCTCTCGTTCTCTTCTCTCTCTGTTAAGTCTTCTAGTGGTTCTTTCAATTTCTAGATCAACAAAAACCACTGGCTGACATCTTGCTCTTCGCATAAACTTCACAGAAGAGAACAACAAAAATTAATTAATACACAATTAAAACAAAAAATAAAATTCCAATCTGGCTAACACAAGAAAAACTCAATGTTAACACAAAAATCAATCCCGGGCAACGGCCCCAAAAACTTACTACAACATGCAAATATAGCAAGTGCACTAGTCTCACAAAGTAATAAATTGATGAGTGAGTATCGTTCCCACGAGGATTGGTTGCTAAGCACTGAATTTCCTATTTGTTTTCAAGTTGAAGAAACCGAAAATTGTTTGGATTTATGGGAGAGATTAAACTTAACCGAAAGCAAGATTTAACATAAAAGTAATATCAATGTAAGCAAACAGTTAGGGTTTGACTTCATTCGGACTCTATGGATTAATTCTGTGGATTATGCTACTTTTACACTCACATACACAGATTGTAAATCAAATTCGCTAAGTTGTCAAACATACCTTCTCAGGCTATGAATTCCTACTTTTCCCTATTAAACTTCCGTATGCAACAATTTGAAGATTAATAGTTCCAAATTCATTAAACTAATGGAATCCTAGATTGATTTCATTGATTCTCAAACCTATCTCTAGGGTTCAATACTACAATGGTGATTACCCAAGAAGCTTAACATGATTCATTTCTCAATCTCATCATGTTCAGCAAATACAATCAATAAAAATCAGAACAACCACACAATCTATGCAATAAAATGTAAAAGCAATAATAAACAATTGATTAATCCATAGAAATCCGATTTACATCAATACCCTAACCAAAATGGATTAGTTCATAACTAAATTAACACAAATAGCTAGAAGGACAATAAACATAGCAGTCAGCATATTGAGACAAAGAGAAAAGAACAGAGATCTCCCCGAGTTGAAGAATCCGTAAGATTAAATCCCAAATCTTCTCCCTTTCTTTCAAAAATATCAAAGCTATTCTCAAACAAAGATGAATCAAGATGAACCTAGACGAACCCCCACCAAAATGGCATGGTTTTTCTTATATAATTCGCCCAAAAACCTAAAACTTTTCCTAAAATAAAATTGTGTGTTTTGGAGAAAATGAAATTTCGCAGACTTCGCCGCGGCGACGAACTAAAGTGAATCTCATGCCTAGCTTCTTTCGCCGAGGCAAACCTTCTTGGAAAATTCTAAATTTAAAAAATTGCCCTCCGCATGCTTCCTTGCTTGAATCTTCGATCTTTGATGCTTTCCCATGGAAACAAGCTTTATAGTGCTTCACTTAGTTTCAGAACTTTCCCAAATTCTGAGATTCACTTACTTCTGGGTCCAGAAACTCCAATTCGCTCATTATTTGCTAAAAATGCACGTTTCGGCCTGAAACATAAAATATATAGAATTAAGTAGCAATTCAGGCATAAGCGAACTAAGAAGTATCTAAAATCTGGCCAAAAAGCCTAAATAAAACAGTATAATCCTCGGATTATCACGTTTATCAGTTGAAGTGCTTCCAAAAGCCTAGCACACTTATTCTTCGCCGGCTCACCTACCTCGGTTGTTTTTTATTGGGCAATGCAAGCTTCTAAAGGTAGTTGAGGGGTGTTTTCTTCGATAGCATCTGCTACAAGTCTATCTACCAAGTCTACACTAAAGCATGAATCTGAGTCTGATGGAAATTTCATGACCTCAAAGACATTGAATGTCACTTTTTCATCTTGGACCCTTAAAAGCAATTTCCCTTCTAGTACATCAATTAAGGCTCTTCCGGTGGCAAGAAATGGTCGCCCCAGGATGAGAGGCATTTCCTTGTCCTCTTCCATATCCAATATGACAAAATCTACAGGAAAGATGACTTTGTCCACCTTAACCAGTACATCTTCAACTATGCTCCTCAGATGCTTGATGGATCTATCTGCAAGTTGCAAAGATATTGTTGTTGGGTTCACTTCACCAATCCCTAGTTTTCTAAAAATAGAATAAGGCATTAGATTAATGCTTGGACCTAGATCACATAAAACTCTATCAAATGTAATATCTCCTATAACAGAAGGGATAGTGAAACTCCCTAGATCCTTGAGTTTTGATGGTAGCTTCTTATGTAGAATGGCACTGCATTCCTCTGTAAGCATCATTGTTTCCTCCTCTTCCAACTTCCTTTTGTTTGACATAATTTCCTTGATCAATTTTGCGTAGCTCGGCATCTGTTGCAAGGCATCTGCAAAAGGAATGTTAATATGTAGTTTTTTAAATACCTTAAGGAATTTCGTGAACTGCTTATGCTGATTTTTCTTTCTAAGCCTCTGAAGAAAAGGAACAAGAGGAGTATGATGTGCCAACTCCGGTGGTATCTCAGGAAATGGCAATTTTTCTTTCTTTTGGTTTGGCCTCTCTTCCCTCCTCGATTCTTCTTCTCTAGGACTCGTTGGCTTCTTTTCAACCATGACTTCTTCCTTGAATTCTTCATCGAATTCTTCCTTCGCTTTACTTGGTGGGTTCTCATCCTTCCTTTTCTGTTCAACCCCTTCCAAAACTGTTCCACTTCGTAAAGTTATTGCATTTGCTTGTTCTCGTGGATTTGTCACTGTGTTACTTGGTAGGGAACCCTGAGGTCGCTCATTCAACTTTTTGGCTATTTGCCCCATCTATACTTCCAAGTTTCAAGTGGACGCCCCTTGGTTTCTGAAATTTGCCCTCGTCTCATTCATGAAACCTGTGGTCTCTTGCATGAACTTCCTAAACATATCTTCCAATTTTGTCAATCTTTGATCCCCTGGTTGATGATTCATCCCAACTTGATTGTTTGGCGCATTTCTTTGGTTCCATTGATTATTCTGATTGCCCCAAGATAGATTTAGATGATTTCTCCAACCAGGATTGTACGTGTTGGAGAAATGATTGTTTTGTTGTCTCTAATTCCCTGCCAACTTGTTCTGATGATGATGAAGCTGAAACAAAGGTATTCCCCACTTGGCATTCATTACTCGCATGGTTACCTACACAAAAATCACATATCATTTGAGGTGTTTGAATAGAATGTACCTGCATACCTCCTAATTGCTTCTGAAGTGCTGTAAGTTGGGGTGACATGGTCGTGTAAGCATCAACTTCATGAATACCCATAGACTTTTTTGAATGCATTCTCTTATTGGGTTTCTGATAGTTGTTACTTGTTAGGACTTCAAGTAACTCATAAGCTTCTTCAGGTGTCTTGTTTTGCAATGCCCCTCCAGATGTTGCATCCACCATCGTTTGGACATTTATCATCAACCCATTATAGAATGTTTGGACTTGCATCCAAACCGACAAACCATGGTGTGGACACTCTCTCAGCAGTTCCTTATATCTTTCCCAAGCTTCATAAAATGATTCATTCTCTTCCTGTAAAAATGATGTGATGTCATTTCTCATCCTTACAGATTTCGCTAGTGGGAAATATTTAGTCAGAACTTTTGTGCCAATTCATTTCAAGTGGTGATTGTTCCTGTTGGTAGTGCCATTAACCATCCCTTTGCTTTATCTCTTAATGAGAATGGAAACAATCTTAACCTGATTGCATCATCCGACACCCCATTTGCCTTGAATGTGTTGCAAATCTATAAGAAGTTTGCAATGTGTGAATTTGGGTTTTCCTTTGGATCTCCCCCAAATTGTACTGATTGTTGGATCATTTGGATCATTGTTAGCTTTATTTCAAAGTTGTTGGCTTGCACCGGTGGCCTAGTTATACTTGGACCACTACCATCAACCGAGGGCACTAAGAATTCCCTCAACGTTCTATTTTTAGCCATCTCAATGACTATCGCCTCTCGTTCTCTTCTCTCTCTGTTAAGTCTTCTTGCGGTTCTTTCAATCTCTAAATCAATAGGAACCACTGGATGACGTCTAGCTCTTCGCATAAAATACACAAATAGAAAAAGAGCATGAGATCACAAGCGAACAAAAAAGAAACAACAAAAATTAACTAGAAAACAATTAAAACTAAAATTAAACTCCAATCTAGCTAAAACCAGAAAAATTCAATATTAACACAAAATCAATCCCCGTCAACGGCGCCAAAAACTTGATGCATTTTTTTCACAACATGCAAAGTGTAGCAAGTGCACTAGTCGCAAAAAGTAATAAAGTGATAAGTAGAGTATCGTTCCCACGAGGATTGCGTGTTAAGCACTGATTGTCTTAGTTTTGTATCAAGTTGGAGTAAATGAAAAAATGTTTGGATTTGTGGGAGAAAAATCAAGCTGAAGTTAAAACAAAATCCACAACGTAATTTAAAAGCTAACTAATGAAAGCAATATCAATTCAAGAAAATATCGATTAAGACAAAGCAGTTAGGGTTTTGACTTCACTAGGATTTTATGATTTAATCTACGATTGTTGTTGCTTCTAAGTTCACATGCAAGGATTATAAATCGGACACCCTAACCTATAAAACATACCTTCTCAGGCCATGTTTTCCTACTTATCCCTATTAAACTTCCGCACCCAACAAAATGAAGGTTAATAGTTCCAAGTCCATTAAGCTAAGTGGGATCCTAAATTGATTTCATGGATCTTCGAACCTATCTCTAGCATTCAATCAATCAATGGTATTTACTCTAAGAGGCTAATACATGATTCACTTCTCAGTCTCATCATGCTCAACAATTAATTTCAATTAGAATAGGAATAAATACATAATCTAAGCAATAGAATGTGAAAGCAATATCAATTTATTGATTAGACATTAAAATCTCAATTACATCAAAACCTAACCCAAAATTGAGTTAGTTCATACTAAAAATAAAGCAAATCAAAAGAAAGGTTGTAAAAACAGAGCTCAACATGCTAGAATAACGAAAAGAGAATAAATTCTTCCCTATTTGATGAACCCAAAGGCTTCCAATCTCCAATTTTCTCCTCTCCTTCCAAAAAGTGTCGAAGCCCCCAAAAAATAACCAAGTCCCTCTTAAATAGTCGACCCCAAAACCCTAAGACTAATCTCATACAATTAAAACGCATAGTTTTAATAAACTAAAAATTGTAGTTTTTGCTGCGGCGAAGAATAAACTTCACCACAGCATCGAGTTGGATTTTATTTCACTATCTGACCCAAGACTTTCTCGCCGCAGCGAACTTTTCTGAACTTTTTTAAAATTACAAAACTGCCCTCCGCTTGCTTCTTTGCTTGAATCTTCAATCTTTGTGATCCCCAATAGGAACAAGCTTCATAGTGCTTCGAATCCGCATCAGAACTTTCCCGATTCTTAAAATTCGCTTGATTCTGGGTCCAGAAACTCAATTCCGCTTAGTTTTTGCTCCAACTGCACGTTTTGGCCTGAAACGTAAAATATATGAAATTAAGTTGCAATTCAGGCACAAACTTAAGAAGAAGTATCCAAAATCCAGCCAAAAAGCATAGATAAAACAGTATAATCCTAGGATTATCAATTTCCATATGTTCGTTTTCTCTTCTTATTTAAGTTGTTCTCCAAACCGTATGTCTATATAAGTATCAATCCTAACTTGTATTCATATAACTTTCATACGTTTGTAGACTTTCATTATCACTTTTACCTTTAATTGGTTCGACAATAGCTGAAGGAAAAGTTGACTTGAAACGGATTATGAACGACATTGATGTAATAACTTCTTTCTACTAGTATACTTCAGAAAATATACAATGAAAACATACATACTTAGCATATGAAAAGTAGTTGGGCCCAAATTTTTCTTTACTTATAAAATATAATTCTTTACATATACCAAAATAACATGCACAAAAACTTGAGCAACGGTGGACAATGATGCCATTTCTCGACGTCCATCCGACCGCTTCTCACCTATTTCCTACAAAACATGGAAAAACAACGAGGTGAGCACAAAAATGCTCAGTAAGTAAATCCGCTACTCCTTTATCCCCACAACTTATTCTTTGGTTCTTTCCTTACTCTATTCTTTCTCTTCTTCATTCTTTCTTTGTTTCTAGTTCTCACTGTTCTTTTCTTTCTTTCTAATTCTTTTTGTTCTTTCTTTCTATTCTTTCTCCTATTTCTTTCTATTCCTACGAACCATGATGGAAACCATGGTAATATGCATGAATGCAATGCACATGCTATAATGCATTGAAATGCATTTTCTTTCTTCTTTTCTATTTCTTATTCTTATTCTTATTCTGTTTCTTTTCTTGTATGCTCAAGCTCTTCTTTTCTTTTCTTGTATGCTTAAGCTTTCTCATTATTTCTCATTATTTCTCATTATTTCTTATTCTTTCTTATTCTTATTCTTATTCTTATTCTTTGCCGATCGGACTCAGTTGATGCATGGATTTGGAACCCTGGCCGTGTGAGTGAGTATAGTCCTCATCTACATGCACTCTTGCAGACTATACAAATTCTTTCTTTCTTCTTAGGCCACTCAATTAAGGTGGGGTGCATGTAGGAATTTTTCTTGGTACAACCCTCATCCACATACATACAAATTCTTCTTTTTCTTATGCCGCTCACTTAAGGCGACGTGTATGTAGGAAATTCTTCTTAGCACCCATGGGTTCCCCATCGCAACAACCTATTCTTTTCTCTTCTTTAGCACTTTTCTTTCTTTAATTCTTTAGTGCTTTTCTTTCTTTCTCTTTATTCTTAAAGTTCTTTATTCTTTCTTTAGGTTCTCATGCATATGTAAGTATATGCATATGGATGGCTCATGCTTATGTTTCTTCCTTAAGTGCAATTATGCTATGTTGCACAAAAATAAGTTTCTCTACTTATGCATAAGCTTCTCTTAGGCATTTCATCAAACATCATGCATGCATACTTCAAGTCTACTTTAACTATACTTCTCCTTCTTTCTTACACCATCCATAATGAGAGTAAAACTCCCTTGAATCATCTCAAAGCCTAGCCAAGAAAATACACTTCATAAATGCTCTTAAACTCCCTCTAAATTCAACCTAACTTTTATCAACTCAACCAATCCTTCTCATGAAGAAAACCCATTCATGGATCATCATCAAACTCAATAACAAGTTTCATACACAAATCTCAAGCATATGGACTTCATATAAAATTCACATAAAACAATCTTTATGCTTTACTTGCTCAAACAAGGGGTTAGGGTTGGATTTACTTACCTTATGCTTGAAAAATTGCACAAAAGTTGTCTATCCTTGTTGAACTTGTTCTTCCTTTTAAACCCTAAGCATAAACTTAATAAGAATTCAACATTAACACAACTTAATCTTATGTCTAGAGCAAGAATCCTTACCTTTTGATGCTTAGGATCAAATCCTTATAAGAATCCAACCAAAAGCCCTCAATTTCTTTTACCAAATGGATGAAGAGATGAGAGAAATGGAGAGTGAAGTTGGCGTGAGAGGGAGTAGAGAATGATAGAGTCTTTGTGCTTGAACCCTTAATATCTCATATTATAGGCATACTTTCCCATTTTGCCTTGACACTATATTGGAAATTACATCTTTGTCCCTTAGTCATTTACACTAATACCCTTACCTTTATTACATTTTCCATCAAATTTCCTTATTTTTCACTCCACATATTTTCAACTAATTAGCGGTAGAATGGTCATTTTATCCCTAAGGAAGATTTCTCTAAAATTTTCTCACGATTCTTCACCTCGGCGAAGTTCTGACACCAATTTAGGAAAAAGTTCATTACCGCTGCGACAAGATTCCTTTGCCGCGACGAAGTTTGCAAATGTCGATTTTTCAATCTTTCTCCTTGAAATAACCAAAACTAAGGGCATAAATGCAACAATAACACATATCCATTTAACTTAGGCCAACATACAACTTTAAAAGGCAAATAAACTTGAGTAAACAATGTACCTCAAAGTGGGCGTTACAATCGACCACAGTGTTACCAATATAAATACTGTGAGAACAAAGCTAAGAGAAGTCATGCATTCTCTAATTGACATCATGAATTCTATAATTGCTGTTGTTTCAGATCTCAAAGCAAAGGACGCTTTGCTTTCTGCAGATGAAGAGCAACTTGGAATGGGAAACCATCAAGAGAAAAGGTAATACAAATTTTGTGTCATATAAAACTAAATAAAAAATATTATAAATTCTCTGTCATTTATTGACTTATTTGTTTGGGATTCAACTTTATCAAGTTTATATTATC